ACTCATTTCAACACAAACGTGAAATCATTTAGTTCTTCTATACGGGTCAGAAACTAAGCCAGCGTGTCAAGAAAAGCATTTCCAACAAGTTACACAATTGTATCAAGCAACTGCCGTCTCTGGCTACATTCTCAAGATTAGATAGCCAGCCAGTCGGAAAGAATAAGCAACAAGAAACTCTCCAGTGGAACAGACCAATCAAGAGCCGATTCCTCAACAAATATCCGGGCGAGAATGGACGTCGATCGGGCACACGCCACAGAAGAAACAGTCGAATGACATCGCGCTCAATGCAGGCAGTCGTGTGGATAGTCAGTTTCGACGACAGCACAGAGTAGAACAAAGTGGAGACGTGTTGTTGAATCCCTAACGTCTACTCGAGATCCAAGTAAACAATAATAATGATAATACTGAATATCTCATTAGATGATCACTTCAGCGTAACTTCTAGTGTATTTTTTACACCTAGTTAAAGAGATCTCGTTACTGATAATTTATTATGGATTATCTTACAAATAAAGTTTTACTCATATACACATTCCTCTTCTCTTGTCATCATCCAATTGACCTCGAACAGTGTGATTCTATTAGCTGTGCATGAAAGACAGAAACTATTTTGGCAGTGTAATTAAACAGAAATCTTGTTCATACTAATTCTATTTGAATTACTTTTCTGTTTGTTAGTTAGTTTGTTTCTGTAATAATGCCTCTTCTGATTTAAAACAAAAAAGAGAAGTGAAAGTGACCAGGTTGTCCACTTGTAGTAGTAGTAGTAGCTTTTGTTGTAGTATAACATTGTGATGACCTTATTACTTTTAGAAATTTAACGTTATTGATTTATTTACTAATGTGCCTGTAGTTTCCGCTCACCTTCATTAATATGTACATAGGTAAATATAATAATAATAATAACAATAAACGTGGTATTGTCTACTGCATCATGATGGACAACCTTATTTAATGTGTTGTAGCACTATTGTCACCATGTCTCTCTCTTCTATCTAAAATAGAGAGTAGTAGTTCAAGCAGCTTAATTAGTTATCATGAGTTTTAAGCTCAACATAATGCATAGTTGACGTGCAGTGTTGGAAAGTTGTCAATGACTTCTGGAAAATTCACTTCGTGTATGCAATTAACTAGCATAAATCTTGCCAAAAAGTATCTTTTATTGTGTGATATTAAAGTATGCACATACTTGGAAATCAAAGGTGAAATGAATTTCCCTCAATGAAGGTTCAAATACACATTACTCATAGAGAGAATTTTCAGCTCAAATGGATGATTTCGACTTAGCTGTGTTCTCTCAGGAGGTGGTTGATTTAATTGCGAAGCTTTCGTCCCCGTCCGCCATCTAGAAAACATCGCTTCAGCTCAGGTTTTAGCATGAAATGAACTCATTTGAATTCGCCATGAATGATAATATAATTGTGTCACCTGGCAACCACCGTCGTGGTTGGTTTTTGATTTACATCTCTATCGATCATTTTTATTGACTTGGAATTTGAAATTTCTTGTCATGTGATTTACTTTTTATTAGTGGGTAAATTTGTTTTATAATAATGTGTTTGTTGATCGCCGGCTGATTCATTTGAGTACCAGGTGTTTAGGAATTCCACGACTGCACATATGGTGCTTCCTTTATCCAAAAGAATTGAAAAACACTGCTGCACTCCTGTGTTGAAAGGAATAAAGGAAAAATACCTGTTAACCGTCTTCAAGAAGAATGAATACCCATACAATTTCAACAATAGATGTTTAAACTCTAGTTATAACACCAACAAGAAACCATCATCAAAGATCATATGAAAAATTGCAGTCACGGAATTCCTAAACACCTGGTACTCAAGTGAATCAGCCGGCGATCAACAAACACATTATTATAGAACAAATTTACCCACTAATAAAAAGTAAATCACATGACAAGAAATTTCAAATTCCAAGTCAATAAAAATGATCGATAGAGGTGTAAATCAAAAACCAATCACGACAGTGGTTGCCAGGAGACGCAACTATATTATCATTTCATGGAGAATTCAAATGAGTTCATTTCATACTAAAACCTGAGCTGAAGCGATGTTGTCTAGATGGGGGACGGGGATGAAAGCTTCGCAATTATATAAACCAGCTCCTGAGAGAACACAACTGAGTCAAAATCATCCAATTGAGCTGAAAATTCTCTCTATGAGTAATGTGTATTTGAACCTTCATTGAGGGAAATTCATTTCACCTTTGATTTCCAAGTATGTGCATACTTTAATATCACACAATAAAAGATACTTTTTGGCAAGATTTATGCTAGTTAATTGCATACACGAAGTGAATTTTCCAGAAGCCATTGACAACTTTCCAACACTGTACATCAACTATGCATTATGTTGAGCTTAACACTCATTATAACTCATTAAGCTGCTTGAACTACTACTCTCTATTTTAGATAGAAGAGAGAGAGATGGTGACAATAGTGCTACAACACATTAAATGAGCTTGTCCATCATGATGCAGTAGACAATAGCACGTTTATTAATATGATTATTATTATTATCATTATTATAATATTTACCTATGTACATATTAATGAAGGTGAGCGGAAACTACAGTCACATCAGTAAATAAATCAATAAGGTGAAAATTTAAAAAGTAATCAGGTCATCACAATATTATACTACAACAAAAGCTACTACTACTACTACTACTACAAGTGGACAACCTGGTCACTTTTACTTCTCTCTCTTTTCAGTCAGAAGAGACGTTATAACAAAAACAAACTAACTAACAAACAGTAAAGTAATTCAAATAGAATTTGTATGAACAAGATTTCTGTTTAATTACACTGCCAAAATAGTTTCTGTCTTTCATGCACAGCTAACAGAATCACACTGTTCGAGGTCAATTGGATGATGACAAGAGAAGAGGAATGTGTATATGAGTAAAACTTTATTTATAAGATAATCCATAATAAATTAGCAGTAACGAGATCTTTTTAATTAGGTATAAAATATACACTAGAAGTTACGCTGAAGTGATCATCTAATGAGATTTCCATTGTTATAGTTATCATTGTTATTGTTTCCTTGCGTTTCGAGTAGAACATGCGGCTTCAAGAAGACATCTCCGCTTTGTTCTACCATGTGCTGTCCTCTACAACTGACTAGCGGTAAAAATGCTCTTAATCTCTCATTTGCTTCACGCCATTAGATTTTGTCCCTGTCACCGTGAATGTGACGACCCACTCGTCGCTTCCCTTTGATATTCCACGCGACGGGTGTTCTGCACTGAACGGTCTCCTCAGTGGCGTTTTCCTGATTCTTCTCCATTTTCTCCTGTTTGCTTGTTGAGTAATCGGCTTTTGGTTGGTTAGTTCCATTGGAGGGTTTCTTGTTGCTAATTCTTTCCAGCTGGCTGGTCACCTAATCTTTGGTATGTATCTGGAGACGGCAGTTTTTGATACAAATGTGTAACTTGTTGGAAATGCTTTTCTTGACACGCTTGCCGAGTTTCTGACTTGTATTGAAGAACTGACTGATTTTACATTTTAGTTGACAGTCCTAATATTTTTGTGTATGCGTTCAGTTTACTAGCTCGCTGGTTTTTGTATCGGGTTCCATATCCAGGTGAAGTGGGAGGGTTGGATATGTGATTAGTGGCGCTGCTCAACAAAACCATCCAGACTACTAGAGAAACTTCATGTCATACACTGCTTATTCATATTATTATTATTTTGATTACAGCTTGATGCCACACCGTATTTTCAGTACAAGTATGGCATTTTCAGCATGGATATCGGTAGCCCTAATTTTGCAGGCCGACCATAGATATCGGGTGTGCGTCGGCAGGGGATCGAACCCCGGACCATGTGCATGGTCGGCGAGAGTCCTAACCACTGTGCCACCGACGTGAATGTTGATCAAGATTAGGCAGTTGCAAGACTTACTAATTGATCTGCAGTGGTCACTTGGCGTATGCATTTAGCCACTTTGTTAGTATTCATTCAATACAGATGTTTCATGTACCTGGCAGTGATCCACACCTGCTGTATGAGGTGTGATTGTACTACTAAGTTTCTTAGACTGGTTAAATAGGTTGAGTGAGATTCAAACTGGGCGTCTATCAACTGCAGGCTGAGGGTTTATGCCTCTAAGCCACACCTCTATGTGTTAGTGTTATATTCCCTCTGGTTAGATAATGCCAATACATGCTTAGATTTTAAACGTGGATTTTAGGTTTTCTTTTGATTTCTCACTCTTTTCTTTCACCCTTTCATTTAAGAATATGATCGTTATTCATTCACTCATCAATAATTATGTGTTATACGTTTCTGCAATGATTATACACTTAGTAGTAAAGTAGTGAATTTGTTTCGTTTTAGTTGAAAATAAAGTGTAAAACTCGTGCTTCGATCAATTTATAATTCATAAAATGTACAAGACATCTCGTCGAGACCAGTCGCTGGTGTACAGAGCTACCAACCCTCTTTTATTGGTTTGCAGGGTTTTGATTTGATTGGTTACCGGATTTTATCATGAGCTGAAATTGGAGTACTGAACAGCTGTTTCGTTCTAGTTTGGGACTCTTCATCAGTACGCACCCGCCAGGGTTTGGACTTTGGACCTACGAGTTCGCCTTGTAACTGGAAGGTCCTGAGTTTGAATGCCGACGCGTGCGTACTAATAAAGAGTCCCTAGCACTCGGACGAAACAGCTGTCCAGTACTCCTGGGTGTTCCAATGGTTTTCTCTTCGAAGTAGGATTATCTTCAACTAGTTATGATTTATCAGATAATTTAACTGTAAAAACCTGTGAACTTTGTGCTTGTCGATATAAATCAAATAGAGTAAGTCAAGTGGATAAAATAAATTCTTTGAAAGATTAACAATTGGTGCCACAGAGCAGCATATACAACCTAATTTGATTCCTTAAAAATTCTTCTATATTTGCGTTACATCCTTCGTTGTTCTACTTTTTTTTTGTAATATTTTCCAAACCTTCTCACTTTTTTTATAGGATACAGACTCTGTAAGTTTTAGTAACTAGTCATTTGGATTTATGTGGTTATAGCTAACTCTTTTAACTAACCAGTTGATTCTTAACCGTTGAGTGGCAATTAGAAATCTATTCTCATTTTACAGTCACATGCTGTGTGTATTATTGCCAATCTTTGTCAATTATTTGTGGCTTGTTGTCATCTAACATCATACACCAGTATGCTTGCGATTGTTTGCTTTCACTATTCCAACATATAACCGTTCACTAACTCACTGAATGAAACTGATTTTTCTACTTTAAAGGGAAATACACTAACATCACATGACTCGTCAGTAGTCTTTCTTGTTTTGCAATTAAAAGTGTTCTCTGAGCTGGTTGGTTTAGTTGCGAAGCTTTCGTCGTCCTTCTGGGCAACATCTTCAGCGCCATATTTAGCACAAAGTGAAATGATTTAAATTTCTTCATGAGTGATGCAATTGCGTCTCCTGGTTACTATCTTTACATATGTATTGACCACTTTCTACTGACTTGGATTTTAAACTTTTTGGTCACCTGATTTACTTTTTATTAATTGGTATATTTCATCTATATTAACGTGTTTGTTAATCGCATTTTCGCTTGAGTACCAGGCTTCTAGGAATTCTCTGGCACTTTTCGTGTTTCCTCTGTTTAAGATTTTGACATGATCCCAATCGGATTGATGGCCATAATTGTCTGTATGCGTTGATACTAAAGAATACGTATCATGTCTTTTCACGGCTGATTTATGTTCTTGGATTCTGATTCGAAGGGAACGCCCACTTTGGCCGATGTAATGTTTGTTGCAGTTCATACAATTTATTTTGTAGATGGTATTAATTTTATCCCCTTTTTCTGTTGGATCTTTTGGTTTGCATAATATCGAATTAAGCGATTTTACTGGTTTGTGTGCTATATCTATATCTAACGGTTTCAGAATTCTGGCTGTTATTTCAGAGATATTCCTCATGTATGGTAGGATGAATTTTCTTGTGGTCTTTGATGATGGTTTCTTGTTGGTGTTTTGATTCGACTCTAAACACTTTTTGATGAAATTTCGTGGATAACCATTCTTTTTGAAGACCGTTTGTAGGTACATTTCTTCCATTCTTTTCAACTCTGGAGTGCTACAATGTGTCTGAACTCTTTTAAACAATGTCTGCACACAGTTTCGTTTGTGAGTAACTGGATTATTGCTAGTATAGTTGAGTATTTGATCTGTGTGCGTTGATTTTCTATAAACTTGTGTCTCTAAATCTCCTGTGTTGGTTCTCCTGATTAAGACATCTAAAAATGGGATTTTGTTATCTAATTCTTCTTCTCTCGTGGTGAATTTGATGTCTTCAAATATGTTGTTTATTAATTTATGAGTATATTCTAAATCACTTCTCTTAATTATTACAAATGTATCATCAACGTAACGTATCCAGATTTTCGGTTTAATTATAGGTGGAGCTATTAATTCTAATCTTTGCATAACGGCTTCAGCTATTAATCCTGATATGGGCGATCCCATTGGTGTTCCTTTTATTTGTTTCTTGTTGCTCTCAGGCTTACAATGAAATGATACTTTTGTGTTCAATTTGTTTATCTCAAGACTCCAGCTGCTCTTTTCTTTTTATTCCTTTACTTTCCCAGTGAAGCGTAGGGCTTCAAGCTAGAGAGCTTTCGCGTTTCCGTAGCAGTATGAGGTTGCTAGCCTCACGCCCAACATTTTCCCTCTTTACAAGTCTTATTACCGATTTAGCGAAGTCTAGGAGTAGTGCCGCGGCCGGGGATCAAACTGCGGACTACATGCGTGGTTGGCAAACACTCCACCACTAGGCTTACAGAACATCAACTGAATGTTTAGTGTGTCCTACATGGATGCTGTTATGATGAAGAAAGGTTGACTTTTTTCTCCTGCAATCGATTATCCTACTCTTGCAGCAGCAATAACCACGATAGTAACAATGATACCTATCTGTTGTATACATTCTTCTGACTGATAAGTTATTCCTCTTCGTACAAATTTTTCTCGTTTATTGATTATTCATGCTCTTCTTATTCTGAAAATTTGTAAAACTGTAAAATCATATTTACAGTTCTTTATCTTTTTATCAAGCTCTTGAAAATTTTTGTTAACAAAATACTCTAAACTGTTGATTTGTGTATGTGTGTGTGTACATCTTTGTGTGTGTGTGTGCGTGCGTGCGTGTGTGCTACTCTACCTTTGCCGTATTGTGTTTTTGTTTTCAACTAATTATGCCAATAATCGTGTGCTTTTTCGTGGTATCTCTCCTTTTTCTTACAGTGAAGAGTTTTTTCTAATTGATAAACAGACTTCTTTCTTATTGTATGTATTTATTCTATATAATTATTGGGTTGATAAGATGGTTTACGTCTGTGTAACACCTAATTTTTTATATATGACAGTTTGGTATAAATTGTCAGAGAATCCATGATTAACCCAACGAGAATAGTCTCTAGCGCCATGTATTTTTAACAGCCTACATGTTTTTGAATGTGACGAAATATATTCAACAAGAAATTGAAGTTTGAAGTCACACTCTGTTGAGGAGAACAAGATATCTTGCCTTATTCTCTATCTCGAAAAACAAATCTAATCCTTACAAATCAATTTCTGAAAATTAATCCTCATGCCCGCTAGTTACTTGCTACAGAACGAAGGTGCCTGTAGAGTTCTAGTGAGAGGTCGTGACCAGTGAGGTCCATCCTGTCGGGAGTGAGGACGGATTTTTCACCGATGACATTGGCTGGTGCCAGTTGCGCTAAAATCACGAATTGTTAGAAGTTAGAATTCATGGGTTGGCCATTAAATCGGGTGCCAGTAGTTGAATGGTATACGAGCTTACCTCGAAACTGGAAAAAAGCTCCTGCGTTCGAAACCCTCCCCGGTGATGGGTGCGAACTGATGAAGAGTCCCAAACTAGGGTGACGAAACAGCTGTCCAATACTTCTACGTCTCCTGATGGTTCTCTAACCGATATCAGTTCATAATGAAATCCTGTAATTTGATTAAGTTTGCGAAATTATTCCATTCACGTAATTTTAGAGTTCACATTACCCTGATTTAACTGGGCCACCGACAATTATACATCTCATCCAACAGCTGTACGACAATGCTGCATGCCAAGTAATCCACAACGGGAAACTTACGGAATCCTTCGAAGTGAGGACAGGAGTAAGACAAGGCTGCCTACTATCGCCAATGATTTTCCTGATTGCAGTAGATTGGATAATGCGACAAACAGTGGGCAATGAGGAAACAGGCATAAAATGGACTCACACAAAAAACTTGGAGGATCTGGACTTCGCCGATGATATATGTCTGATTTCCCACAAACTGGAAGATATGCAAGCGAAAAGCAACAAGTTGGCAGAAGAAGCATCAAAGATAGGACTTCCAGGTGAACATACAGAGGTGATGAAGATTCCTAGGCAACACCACCAACAGCAGCAACAACAACAGACAACAATCAGCATAAATGGGAGGAACCTGAAAGAAACAACCTCTTTTACCCACCTGGGAAGCATCGTTTCAACTACAGGAGGACAGAACTGACGAGGATATCAAAGCAAGAATCGGAAAAGCAAGACAAGCTTTCACTACTCTCAAGTCTGTGTGGAGGTCAACAGCACTACTCAGCATCAAAACTAAGATCCGGATTTTCAACTCCAATGTGAAGTCAGTGCTACTTAACATACGGATCAGAGACTTGGCCAGCGCGTCATAAAGAGCATCTCAAACAAACTATAGACCTTCATTAACAGTTGTCTTCGCTCAATACTCAAGATCAGATGGCCGGCCAGAAAAGATCAGCAACAGAGATCTCTGGCAATGAGCGAACCAACCCAGCAGGAACCGATTGTGAAACAAATAGGCAGGAAGAAATGGAGATGGATTGGCTGGCCATACTCTGAGGAAACCATCAAGTGACATCACTAGACAAGCCATTGCTCGAGTGGAACCCGAAAGGGAAGCGGCGAGTTGGTCGTCAGTGCAAGGGTGACTTGGAGGAGGTGATGTGAAGAGGAGATGAAGACGTGTGGGCAGACTTGGAGCCAGGTGAAGACTCTAGCAGAGAACCGAACGCAATGGAGACGCGTGGCTGAAGCCCTATGTTCCTCTAGGAATTAAAGGATATAATAATAATATAATAATGAGTAGTTCTCAGACTAACTTATACATCTCGTAATACCTTTGGGAAGTACGCAATATTTAGAAGAAAAAACGCGATTGTTTTGAGTTTTGATTTTGTATATTAATTGATTACAATGCTTAATGCTCTTCCTACTTGTTATGTTTTACTTAGGATAAGAAATTGGTCGATAATTTTGTGAAACATGCTACCACGCATAATCGAGTAAGCTCATTCATTATCATCATACATACTATTATTATTATTAGACAGATGTTCAATTTATTTGGTATAATTTTAACTGAATTTTTGTTTTCATAGTTTAGTATTCCGTGAATGAAATGATTTTTTTTTTTAAAACTATTACTTCGCTGTCAATCTGGAGAGTATTTTCAAACTAAAATTCACATTTAATTGGTGGATGGTGACTAGCAGTGGAATCCAGGATGCGCATTTCGTCCTATTTGGGACTCGTCATCTGGATGTACCTGCATTTCTCAGTGAGTGATAATGTTCCCACCGAGGTTCGAACCCAGTGCCCATAGTTTCAAACGCCAAAGCGTTATCCACTAGACCACTTGGGCCACGAGAGCCACCTCTTGTGCAACGGGTCATATTGATTTAATTGAATTTTAGATTTTCCCGTCGATTGATTGGACCGAAGTGCTCGGTCTCAGGTTGCTTTCAAACGCCAAAGCAACCTGAGACCGAGCACTTCGGTCCAATCAATCGACGGGAAAATCTAAAATTCAATTAAAATTCACATTTATTCAATATGGATTTATTTTCTAATAAGCTTAAATGCCATTTATGAGTAAACGTTTCAAATACCACAGGTAGATTTCTACGCTACACAATTCACAGGATATA